GGTATTTAAAAGTGAATATTAGTATTATGAAATGATTTGCCTTTTTGTAGGCATAATAAGCCAAATACTTTTTTACCCAAAATAATTTTTAGAGAAAACGATGTAATGAAAAATTGTACGATGAATTAGGAGCATAGTTTTTTCATTTAAACTTCACCATTACTTAAAGGGTAATTGATTGTTGCTATACCAAATCAGATGAACTTTGTTCATCCATTTTCTTCTCTGTCCCCAAATAATTTGGTTCATTCAGACTGAAATGTTTATGTCTTTAACTTACTAGAATGGAAGCTAATGCAGATATTTCTGTGGGAAATAAAATAACTAATTTTGAGGTACCAAATAGTGCAATTGGGTAAAACAGGGTTTATTCAGTTGCATCTGTGTCCAGAGTTGTGTTGACAACTCAGGATCTTTTTTTGGGCCAGCCCTTTTTGGACATTGCTTCCAGCAGTGGAAAATGGGCATTTGATGGCAATAGGCCAAAACTATTCAGAGAGTACAACTTTTCAAAATGCTCATCTACTGGAAGTGTGAATTACTTGACAGTGTATGGCTTAGTTGTGTTCATGTGTGTCTACAGTAGAGGTCTAATCCACAAGTTAAACCGATGTTTGGTATGATATAAATTCTCTTTGTATAGGCCACTGAGTTTCTCGTGCAGGAAGTTTTTAAAAAACTCACTTGCACTGGATTGTCATCTCATTCTTGTACAACGTAGAATTACTTGTTTACATCCAACAAATGGTTAGCTTGGGAAAACAGTGCAACCCGAGTATAAGTAGTTGTTTTGGTTCAACTGCATGTCAACCCTTCCATTTCAATCCCAGTTAGAAGTGAAAACATTACTTTGAAACTTGGCTTTAAGAGCACATTTATCGTACGTTACAGTGTATGGTGAATATATTATTAAATAATGTGGTACTTTGCTCATCAGGCATAATGTCTAAGATCTAATATACATAATTCCATTAAGTGGTTGAGGGGAAGCAAATAATGGAATCATCAATTGGTCCTCTGGCTCTAAGGTTTTCTCTGAAACTAAACAGTTTTAGTTTCGGGTAAGGGCCGGATATGTGGCAGACATGGTTTTTGTTACACATTCTTGTATTATATGTGACTAAATTTACAGACAAGATACATACATAATTAAAGACCCTATAGAACTGGAAGACGTCTTGTAGTGCTACATTGAGTGAAACCAATGGTCCATTTTTGTTTGTTTGTACGAAGATGAAATAGTTGAGGACCATCTAGAAATAGGCAGTGAGAAGACAGATTCTACAGCACTGCTTTCATTTAATTGGGCTTTGGGCACTCCATTTGAATCCAGAACCTCACCTCTAGTTGAGACCAAGAATTGGCATGCACTTCTGCTTAAGTTCCTGGAAAGAGTTGCTGACTTTGTACCTAAGACCTGCCAGGGAATACCAAGTAAAGACTTGTTTTCCAGACTTTTTTTGGTATGGGAGGAAATACTGTGGCAACTGGGAAGGAATGGAAAAAAAGAAAGAATCCTCTTCTCACAGCAAGTCCATGTGGGGAAGCTCCTCCAATCCTCGGGTGTTTGAGGTTCGAAATCAACTGCCTGGGGGTAAATTCCAGTGCATGATTTTCTTGGAGCTGCTTTGTCTGCCTTGAGGTTCCTGAACAGTGAATTCCCATTAATGAGCAGTCTTCAGTATTAAAACCACTGTCTTGTCACCTCATTTTGCATTACTGTCTTCCGTGGATGTTTCAGTTGTAACTGTAATGTTATTTATAGAACAGCATTAATCCATTAAAGCTAACCTATTTTTCAATATTTATGATAATCTATGTACATATATTGTCTGTCCATATGTATTTGTAAATAGATTGTATATAATGTCAGGTTTGGGTCTTGGGTTCAAGTGTATATATTCCTGTAAGTTTCTTAACTGCATTTTGATGAATTCACATTATGTATCTATAAGAATTGTCTCAAAAGTACCTACCTGTACAGAGAATTGAATATTAAAAAAATTGACAATTATGTGTACAAACACTAGAAATATTTGTTTAAGTTGTACTTGCAATAAACTGAACATCAAATTTTTTCATGAAAACTTGGTGCAAGTTTAGATCTCTTATTTAAATTTTAAATAAGGTCTAAATTTTCAAAATGCAGTAGTTACCAAAATGTGATCAAGTGTAATGAAATCAAATGTGATTTAATGTAATGAAAGACCTTTAAGAACCTGGGTGTGTTAACTTTGTGTATATAGTGTAAATATCCCCACTGTACTGTTAGAGGCCAACAATTCTAGTATGGCTTGTTGGCAAAGAGTGCTACACCGTTTCAATGAAACAATGTATGTTTGTTTTAACTGAACTAAAATAAATACATGCTTAATCCTGAGTAGCATTGTTTTCTTTGAGGTAATGGGGTAAGCAGTATCTGAAGTATAAGTATAGTACCTTGCACTTAGTAGGTATCCATATGTTAGTGATTATAACGATCAAGGAAAAAAATGGTCAGGAAAACAAGTTTATTTTACTTGAAGTTTTAAAGATTCTAAGTTTACAAAAGTGAGAAGGAATGAAAAGTCTTGAAGAGTTGGGAGAAGATGCTTAAGAGCATCTCAAGGACCCAGACTCAGCCATTCTGATGGAAATCAATAGGCCAATAGTGCATCAGAAACAACTGGACAGCTTTTTTAAAATGCAGCTTTCTAAAGCATGTGCCTCCATAGTCTGATGGCCTAGGTCTGGCTGGAGTGCAGCCCAAGGTCTGGTTTTTGTTTTGTTTCCAAAAGCTACTCAGGTGATTCTGATGCACAATTACGCGTAAGAGCATGAAATAGGCCTGGAGAAAAGTTGGATTCGTTCAGCTTTGGTGAACTAGTCACAGGAAATGAGGTGAGTAATTAATGGACAAGCTTATGCATGTGTATCATGTAACAGCATGGTTTACCTGAGTGACACTAGGAGTGGGGAGGGTTACTAAGACACAGGATAGTTCAGGTATGGCCTACTGATAGCCTGCAAAGATTGGGGCTTTTAAAGTGAAATAACCAACGCTGAAACAGAAGGAAAGATACCTCAGGACAGCAGGTGTGCTCTGCAGTGTTTGCAAAGGCATGAGACTTCTCCAAGAAACTAATAGGCTGTTCCCAAAAATGGTCATATGAGAAAGAATTAAATGTGATTAGGAGGAACAAAATTTGCAACAAATCTAAATTGAAGAATGAAGGACTGTTGTGGAATTTTCAGGTATTTGCTGACAAGCTTTAATTGACCATCTACCGTGTGTAACTAACATGCCCGTGGGAAAAAGGGTGGGGTTATGTGTCAGGTTCTAACAGAATCCATATACTTGGAATTAAGCTATTAAAAAAGTGAACGGGAATGCCTATTTATTAATCTAAAATTACAAATATATTTGGTGGGTAGGTCCACTCAAGATAAAAAAATATGCTAACCAGGGAGCCAGCTAGTCCCAATAGATTTCCATTGAGCCTCAGGAATATTCTATAAACATTTCTAAGTACAGCATCAGAGCTACTTGTCTTGACTTGGAAATACTCTTACCTGGAGAGTTGGCTTAATTAAGTTTCTAGCAATAAAATATCCATTTAAATTAGTGTAAACAAAAATGGCAGACGGAGATAACTTAGAAGGGGCTTGGAATGCCTCAGAGAATTAAAAATTAAGCAGGCTTCCAAAAGTCAAAATCTAGATTTGTTCTAGAGATCTCAATGACAGAAGTGTATGAAACATCACAATAGAGCTGTGCAACTAGATTCTGAGCTTCCGATATCTTCAGCTCGATTTCTCAAGACAAACTAATTGGTCGGTAATAGGTCAAGCATCCACCCTGATCCACTCAAATGCAGTTGGGTGGGCAGGGTGACACAGTACACAGATGCCAGTACCCACCCCTGCGGTTGAGAAAACAGTTCTCAGAGGAGGGCTGCAATGATCATGAGCTAGAAATAGGGTCACCGACTGTCCTGTAGCACTGAAAGTCCTACATCCTGGGAAACCCTTTTGTCCCAGGCAAACTGGGATGCTTGGTAACCCTAGCTAGGAAGGTACCCAGAAAATGTCTAATAAGACAGCCCTGAGATATTGATAAACTTATTTCCTTTGGATTTCCTTTTTCTGAACTTCCATGCAGGACACCAACCTTCTTTTGTGACTTTGCCCCAACACAATGGATTATAGCTTCTTTATTCAATGTTTGTTCTAACTTCACCCCACAAGAGTTACAAGCTTCATAGAAACAAACATCTGTCTGTCTTTTCGTTAATTTATCTCCAACACTCAGTAGCAAGTGGTACATAGGTACTCAATATAGTTGTACATAGGTATGCAATATAATTGTTGAATGAATAAATATGCCCTTTATTTCATATAGTTTAGTTGAAGTGAGGCTCAAACTTTTAAGCAAGAATTTACTAAATGCTTGCAAGAGAAATGCGG